TGTGTGTGTTTTGTTGTCTATGAAGCAGACACATCTCGGGCCAAAAGTATGGAGATGGATGCCAAGAGTGTAGCCACTCTCTTCATCTGTCCCTCTCTCACATACACTACTTCGGGGCTGTCTGTACTAACTCTTCCGTCTGTGACTCTTACAGTAACAAAGGCGGTGAGCGACTGAATATTTTACGAGACCTTTTCGTCTCTCATCTATTGTTTATTTGAATTCCCCTTTTCGCAATCATAAGCCGCTACTATAAGGCTTCGCGTTGCTCAGGGTTCACACGAAGGCAACAAAGTCTGAAGCTTTCGCAGCAAACCACGCACTCTCTGGCAATAAACCCGCCTTTTGTTATTTACCAGCGAGGCAGGGGCACGTGTTACAGGGAAATCTGTCCTCGGGGGATTGAAGATGGCCTTCCTCACTTCCCTCCAGAGAATCATCTGGAGCCTTTATTATTGCCAACGCAGCTCGGCTGTGCTTAAATGGGTGGGGGGGGGTGGGTGGGATGTAGGGGTGGAGAGAGCAGTCCCCTTTCCTCCACGCCTGGCTTTGGGATGCTCTGCTGGTTATTGTTCCCTCAGCTCCATGGTTGTGTGTGTGTGTGTGTGTGTGTGTGTTCAGGCTCATATCAGTCACTTTATCCCCTGGTGATGAGGCGGGACACATCACCCTGTCAGCACAGCCAACACATCCAGCACCGGAATGAGGAATGTGAGCAGCGGTCGGAAAAATTGTACTACTGTATATTTTACAGCAAGTTGCTCTGTGCTGAGGATTGCTTCATGTTGCTTACTTATTTATAGTATTATATAATATACATTCTAGCAAAACGAGCGCCATTTTTCTGCTATCACAAGAACCAACTCGCTAATGGATTCATTTCAACGTTATTGCAGTAAAATTGTCAAGCTTTTGTAAACATATAGAGGCATGAGTGTGGAGGCCTGTTAAACCTTTGAAAGAGACCTCACCAATGGATTTATGTCCAAACAAGTCCTATGAATGGTTCAATCTGAGCAAACATCCCTTTTGATGTTGGCTTCCTTACTCTTTATATGAAACACCATGTAGAGTACCCATCTCGGCTTGACTTTGCCACAGTCTCTCCCTCTGTGCACCCACTACTGAGACAAACACTCTACAGTGGAAGAGGCGGGGTTAAGCTGGAAAAACACACAGCGCTCATAGATTCCCGTCCAAAGTTCTTTTTTTTAGAACCTCTGTGCATGGGATTCAAACAACTGTCTTGGATTTTTGTCAACCTGCTATGACGTTAGCAGTGTTGACTTTTCCATGCTGGGCTGTTCCTGCTGACAACACAACACCCTATGAAATGGTAAAAATAGAAAGTGAGGAATACAAGCAAGCTCAAAGAGAGATTGTTGGCATCACAGTAATGTCAAATATATACAGTACTTAAAAGCTGCTCTAATCAATATTTTTGTATGAACACTGGAAAAAAATACTATTTGTAAGGTTTTTTTGGTGTCTTTTAACACATTGCTTTGGTTTCACGGCCTGAAACGGCTTTAATTTACTGTCACTGATCTTAGCAGCATTGTGTTCAGACATAGCAGGCTGCTGTTTCAAGCCGTGGCTACACACAGTTTGAGGGATTATTATCAACATTTTGGATGTGCTCACTTTTGGATTTACCTCCAAATCCGGTCTGATCATCTGACCGCTGACACCCTCTGCCCTGTCAGGACTTTGTTGTAGGTATGTGTGTGTTTCCAGATCTTGGCAATTACTTTAACTGAGTACAGGGTTATCATCACTGATGTATAAGATTAAATTAAATGGAACCAAGTTGTCAATAAAATGTAATTTTACTTTAAGTTGTTCGCGGATGTAAAGTGTGCATGAAATCACTCGTTAGATCGGGTATTCTTGCAGTTACCCAGATGGCCTGTGTTGTTCTATGGAGGTGCGATGTCACACACAGAGCTGCTGAGACTCCGTTCACTGTCACAGTAGTCTGGTTCACCTAGAGATGACTCATTGTCCTGCTGGATGTAATCACATCAGAGACCCCAGGGGGAGAGATCCTCCACCCTCTTGTATCCACATTCCTTCCAGCCTCCCTCTTGTTGTCCCGTCTTCTTCCTTCACTCTTTTTCCACAACTTCTCTCACTTCCTTTCCAACCCAAATTATGAATAGACTGATGCTGTGTGAATTGTATCTGTAAGAATTTGTCACAGGCCATGTTAGACTGCCCCTATAGCGATGAATCAAAGAAGGTTGAAGTGTCTAAATTTGAAAGTAATGTCCTGAAGGCTGGGCTCTCTTGCTGATTTGATTTTACTGTAATTAAACCACCTCTCATTATCAGACTGCCGCTGCAACTGCAGAAGTGGGATGCAGGGTAGGCCAAGTTATCAATAATCCAGAGTAATGTCTCTCTTTGGTCGACCATCAATTGGTCATGATGCTATTTCTGTGCTTTTGGCGGTGTCTTATTTTAGCGTTGCAGAATAATGATTCATTGCAGAGCAGAAAGAGCAAAGATCCTTTCATGTGTGTGTGTGTGTGTGTGTGTCTTTATTTGAAAAAGATAGCGATAGAAGAAATGAGAGTATGAGAGAGAGGGGCTGCCTTGCTAGTTAATGTTCCTGAATGTGAAATCATCTGCTGGTTTCAGAACAGCTGATAAACTGTGTGCAGTGCGGCACTGCAGCAGTATTTACATCCCGTACAGTGGTGCTGGATTAGTGTCTGTCTGTGTCAGGGATGCCCAAACGCTCTACCGAGGAGGGCCATAGGGTGACGTGTCATGGACCTAAAGATAATAGTGGATGCTGCTTGTAGAAGATGATGATAATAGCTTCTCTGTCTTATATAATTATGAAGGCTGTCACAATACCTCCCATTAAGAAAGTGGCGTCTAAATCTTTACTCAGATTAAGATCTATGCATGCTGTGTAACCAGAGTCATTTTAACAATTTGCCATTAAAAGAGGGCTATTTCAATTTGTAGTCATGTTGGCAGCACTAGTGTAGCTTTAGGAATAACAACGCCAGTATGTCGGTCCACTACTGTGGTTTGGACTGCAATATCTCAACAACCATTCTTTGGTTGCTATGAAATGTGGTATACACATTTATGTTCCCCAGAGAATGAAGCCCACTGGCTTTAGTGATCCTCTGACCTTTCCTCTCGGGCCACCAGTAGGTGAACATTTGCATGTATCCAAGTGAAATATCTCAACATCTACTTGATGGAATGGCACAAAATTAAAGACAAAAAAAAGACATGTTTCCAAGAGGGTGGATCCTAATCACTTTAGTGATCCCTTTTTTTCTCTCCCTTACGGCCATGAGGTTGACTTGATTTGTGGCTTTGTTTGAACTGTCACAACAACTGTTGGATGGAATTTGGTCCAGATACTCCCTTCATCCCCTCGTGTAATCTTTAGGATCAAAATTTTAGCTTTATTATTTTTTTATGACCAATCTAATGATATTCCTATCAGACTCTCTGTACTTTGTGTGTAGTGGTAATTTTCTAAAATAATAACGCACGAAACTAAACATACATCTAATAGTAAACTATATATCTGCTAACATCTTGTTGTAAATCCTACCAGATTGCCACAATACCTACACTCTGGAAAACTGCTACCATAATCCCTGTACCCAAAAAAACAGAGGCCACAGAGCTCAACCACTATGCCCCGTTGCCCTCCTATCCATAACAAGGATGTGCCTGGAGAAGCTGCTGCTGAACTCCAGAACTCCACAACTGGAATTCCCCTCCAGTTTGCCTAAGAGGGGCACAGAGGAAGCTGTGGCCTGCCTGCTGCACTTCCTGGTGCCTGGCGCCTGGTGCAGAAGGGCTCGCTTTGGGAAAAGCCTTATCCCTGCACCCATAGTCGGCCTAAACAGCAGGCCTCGCTGAATAGACCTGAGTGTGTGCTGTTGTCTGTCATTGTATTACTGTTGTATGTATTATTGTCTGATGTATAAAGTGCTGTGGAGAGAAATTCCCCCTTGAGGACAATAAAGTCTAAGGTAGCATGTTAACAATGTCGTGAGCAAGTTAGCACGCTAGCGTTAGCCCTAAGCACAGCTGTGCCTAAGTAAAGCCTCACAAAGCTGCCGGCGGGGCTGTGACTTATTCTTGTGCAAAGTTGCTTTTCTACGTCACATTCTTACCTTATTCTTGTTGTCCTTGTATTCTACACAGGCAGTGTTGTTGGAAATACAAAGGTCTTTACAGGAAGGAATTTAACAACCGCTATTTGTTTGTCACTCATTTGCACATTCTACAGAGTGACATATTCATATCACAGCAAACATTTAGCGTGCTCTGTTTTATCGTTATCTGAGCTGAGTGCCATGCTCTGCTTACTGTCAAACACTTGACATCCACAGGGAAGAACGGAGCACTTAACCAGCCCAAAAAGCATGGCACAGGAGATGATAAAAAGCTGCGTCTGACACTAAAACTTCTATACATGGCAATAAGAAGCCATATATATATATATATATAAATATATACATATATAGTGCATTATATTATGCACTGGGAAAATAATCAAGGCATAGACAGCAAATGGCCCACGATATTTTCCTTTGAGGATGAAATTACAGTAAACTCAATAGCGAAACGGATTTTATCAATACCCTTTTAGTGTTCCATTTACCAAGCCCTGCTCCCCTCAGCATTTTGCTTCTACATCCTCCTCTGATCAAGACAGACTATATTTAGGTTGTTGCTCTCCAGAGAGCCCATTTGGGCCGTGAACCCCAAGTTGTGCTGTCCTACTCAATGTTGTTCTTTTTTTACCCTGACAGGCTCTCAGCAGTTGGTCTTTATCTCTGGAGTCTGTGTGATGTTGCAGATTCAGATTCACAGCGTGTCCTCGGATAAAGACAACTTAAAAAAAAACACAACCTAAAAGCAATGTTACAAAAACTGCATGGAGCGACCACGATGACTCGTCAACATTACAGCCCAATAGTAATGTTAATGTCTCCATGTCTCCTCTCTTGCAGTGGCTCATGCGCAGGACACACACCACCACTCCACAGAGAAGCCCCTGATTCAGTGCTACAAGTGTGGCGAGCCATGTAAGGGCGAGGTGCTGCGGGTGCAGAACAAGCACTTCCACCTCAAGTGCTTCACCTGTAAAGGTACTGTCATTTTATGTAATTAAATACAGTTCAATGGGTTTCACTCACTAGTATTTGCTGCATGTGATTTGGCTCAGTTTTACTCCATGTGAGACAACCCTAATATTATGATCCAAAAAGGCCGGTCTTCAGTAAATACGTTACAATTTACAAATGAGTCCACAGACGGCTTGTTTTTTTCTGAATTGGAAAAGATAAATGTGGGAGCTGTGTGAACATTGGCAACTAAGGTGTAACATTTATAAATTCATTGCTAATTTCATACTGTAGGACATTTGCTTCCTTTCATTCAGTATAGCAGCCTAATGCTGATTGTTTTCCGCTATGATGTAGAATGACAGTTCACAGGTATAGAGGAGTCAGAAGTGTGGTGACCCTTTAAGTAAAATGGCAAAAGTACAGCTGAACAAATTATTCTTTTTCCACGACTGTCCCAAAAAGCATCCCAATCACAGGAAGTTGGATAGGAGCAGTCCCTGAAGGACACAGCGTCCTTCCCATCCTCCTCTAACGGCCGGTGGCATGACTCATCTTCTCTTCTCAGACCTACATACTTCAATAATTGTACCATTCAGACTGCTATGACATGTGATGGTGCAAATCCTCCTGCATTTATCCTTATTACTGATGGATTTCTGGCATTCTGGCATGATTACGATGTAGCAGCCCACGGCTGACCAAGCAGTCTCACTCTTGCAGGCTAAACCTGCCTCGCCGAAGCCCTTGTAGTTAAGCTGTAACTGGAGCACTGTTATAAATTCTCCAAGGGCTCAGAATAACACAAGCAAACACTGAGATTAGCACCTAATTCTGTCCTTTACACGTGGATATACATGCTTGTAGAGAGTCAGTGGTTCTAAAAGTGTTTGTGCACACGAGACACGAGGACTGCATTATTAGCCAAAAGACACGCTGTCTTAGTCCTTGCTCTAAATATACATGTGCTGTTTTGAGTCTCCAACTTGTAGGACTAGAAATACCATGATTAACAGGTCGACTGAGGATATCGACACTCATATTATCCCCTTGGCATACAAATCCCAAACAGACGCCTTTTGCATATGTTTATCTCATTCCCTGAAATGCACAAAAGCAAAACCTTTTAATTCACTTTCATTTCAATTTCCTAAGTTGACCCTCTTGAGTTTCCAAAAAGGCATTTAATGTAATGGCATGCATCTGTTGAAAAGCTGAGGTGGCTGGACAAAGGCCACCAAATCTCCACTGCTGGTTTTCTCTTGACTCGGATAGCTTACAAGCTAATCTCGTCACCCGTGAGCCCTAATGCAATTAAATCTGATTCTCTGTCCCACTCGCTCCCATTCATCCCCAGGATTTAGCGTGCCTCATTGCATAAGAATGATTAGGTGGAGTCATCTCAAACATCAAAATATTTTCCCTCTTAGCTGTGGCATTTCCAAAGGGCTAATCGATTCCCAGCCCCACTCCGTGGTGCTGGAATGTTGGATCTCACAGTTCATATGACCATTATGTGGTGGAAATAATGTAAATACAGACGTACCGAGTCTGAATTGTGATTAAAACATATGTGGAGTTAACACCACATGTGCAGTCAGTGATTCTTGATAAATGGCAGAATTATGAGAATATTTTAATGTGACATGGAAAATAAGTGTTTTTTTAAAGCCATGATTTCTTTAATTAGCCATGACACTCTAAAATGTAACCCCAAATCAGCCACAAAAAGCAACATTAAAACATCGAAGTATGGGACAACATGGATGTCATGGATTTTTCAATGCGGGTCTGTCTGCTTGTCGACACATTAACTAACAACAACTATCTGATGGATTGCCATGACATTTGGTACAGACAATTATGTTTCCCAGAAGATGAATCCTATTGACTTTGATGATCCTTTGACTTTTCCTTCCAGCGCCACCATGAGGTTGACATTTGTGTTTCCAAGTGAATTGTTTAAACAACTTTCAGGATTGCCAATACATTTGGAGCAGACATTCATGTCCCCCTCAGGATCAACTGCAATAACTTTGGTTTGTCCTTCTAGCTTTTTACATACCACCATCATTAGCTCCAAAATTGAATTTGTCGAATAGAGCAAAATAAGCAAAAATAATTCTCATCAGCCTCAGTTGTACTATGTGTTTAGTGCTAATTATCAAATGTTTACGCACGCTAAGGCCTAAAAATAGGGCTAGGGCTCAGAAGGTTAACAAGATAACAAAAAAGGCTTGATTTATTGTACTTTTTTGATACAAGCATATAACACATAGGTGATGTTTAAAGCATGTCAAGTTAAAAACCGCCATGTTTTATGATGGACCAACCAAAAAGTGAAAAGCCATGAATCCGTGTCTGTGCTTGAAATCACAGAGATGAAAGCCATTATAGAATGTTTGAATTCTATATTTACTCCAATATAGTAAATCTTTCATGACATCTTTTCAATTGTTCCCCAATTGCTATTTCTGCCTCATCCAGCCTTTCATGTTTGTGTAGATGTCAAGGTTATATTTGAATTGAAGGAAGCTTGTTGGAGAATGACAGTGTAGTACTCGGAGTATTCAGAGCCAGTTATCTTCAGAAACAGATCAAGGCCATTTCCTGAGCTAGACAATTATAGAATTGTTGTTGCATTGAACACTACCTCCACACCAACAATGAAAAGACCTCGCTGTGGTAGTGCCGAATTATCGACCTGAGCCCTCATTGCAGAGTTCCTTCATAGGGACAAGGTCTTTTCTTTTTTTCACGACTGTAATCGCTGATGAAAGGATTTTTACGTTACGCTTCACATTGTAACGCACACAGCTGTTAAAATGAATTTCAAGGCATCCATTTCATGAAATCAGCGAGCCACTCAGGATTACACGGACTAGGGCTTAACAAAGCCGTTGATGCGTGGAGGGGATGGGTGGCCTGATGTTTATAAGGGCAGAGCACTAAATGACCTGACTCGCAGTGCCAATGTGTGTGTCCCGTACAGTGTGCGGCTGTGACCTTGCCCAGGGGGGCTTCTTCATGAAGAATGGAGAGTATCTGTGCACGCTGGACTACCAACGCATGCACGGCACCCGCTGCAATGGCTGTGGGGACTTTGTGGAGGGGGAAGTGGTCACCGCACTGGGCAAGACCTACCACCCTGCCTGCTTCGTCTGCACCATCTGCAAGTAAGGCACACAGACTCGTTTTGCATTAGCTGGCGAAGAGTTACCTCGATCTTAATGCGTGCTTTCCAAAACAGTAATCATGTGAAGTGACAGACAAACAATCAGATGGCAGGGATTCCAGGAGACAGTGTACAGTACCAGGCTGTGTGTCACGTCTGAGTCATCTGACTAAACGTCCTCCTCAGGGACACAGTGTTGACACACATCCACATCATCAAGTCCTGTCATCTTAAGCCCCATCAGACAGCCTGCACACCCACGGCTAATAAACCCTTACACTTACCTCTGGGCCACAGCTCACGTCTTGTCGACCGATTGTTTCATGTCACCTCTCTTCCAGACGACCGTTCCCCGCTGGGGACAGGGTGACCTTCAACGGGAAGGACTGCTTGTGTCAGTACTGTGTCGAGCCCATGTCTCCGGGACCAAAGGACATCCTGGGCTCCAGCAGTAAGTCGCCATTGTCTAATAAACACATACACACAGGTTGAATGCACAGGAAGGCGTTCGCTTTCACACGATGCCATTGTGGCTTCCACACAGAATTGGGAAGTTTGCAGTAGGATTCTTAGCGAAAGTGGATTAGTTGAAGGATTTAAATATCTGGACAATTTCAGTCAAGTCTGGTGCTTATGGTGGTATGATTCATGCATGACATTTAATGTAGCTGGTGGCCAGTCATTATAACTGTGATGTATTTGTGCTGTGAAGAATAATTTTCCAGTTTACATATAGCGCACACATTATTAGCATACATTCTATTTAAACTGCCGTATCGATGGAATCGTGAACGTTAACCCCTTCACAAGCAGCAGCCTGTTGGTTGGTAAGTCAACTTGAGCTGTGCAGCCAAACACTGTTCAAACTAATACAACTTTACCTTCAATACTAGTGGGGTTCCAGAAGTTTCCAGACCAAAAATGTCAGGCTGAATTTTGGGAAAAAGAGGGAAAATGTAAAGGGGTGAAGTGTGTAAAACAGTTGGTACTACTCAACAGTTCCACATCGCAGTAAAGAAAAGACTTTGTAAGGACCTTTCCTGCAACCCAGTTCTGCCTGAAGACTGAATGATGTAGGGTTATCATTCAGTCTCTCCTCTCCTCTGTAAACGCAGCCTTGTGTTGGACCAGCCATGTTTATGAATAACACCAAGACGGGCCTTGCTAAATAATGCATGGCCATGCATTTCCTTTCCTTTGGAACAGGGAATGTGCAGCCCTCAAAAACCCCTCCTCTTCCAACTCCTCTCATCCTCCTTCTTTCTCTTCCTGCCCCTCCCCCCCCCTCCCACAGTGGTCTCTCAGTTGGTGTTTGAAGAGCTTTCAGACAAGATCACCTATAAATAAGGCATGCTGATTCTCCTCACGTCATCACCACAGCCTCGTTATGCCTTACGTAGTTATCGTGTCCTGTGGGTGCAGAGGGCTCTGTGTTGCTTTCATCCTCTATTCATTAAAGAAGAGACGACTGGAAGGATTGTTCATTTAGAAACCAACCTCAAGCACTTTTTTAAGCCCCTGGATCCCACTTGGATATGGATGGAGCTTTTAGAGCCATGGTAAGAGAGATGTGGATGATAGAAAGAGGCAGCTATCAGAACACCGCTGCTTAAACTCTATCACCATCTAGTGTCTTGGGTCACAACTGACAACACGTCTCATTTCTTTGCATGCAATCGTTTCTCCTCGGGTTAATGTGAGCCCGTTAAAGGCTGTGTTTTAAATGAAACAAACCTTCACTCGAGCATTAATTCTCTCTACTAACATTTCCTTCCCTTCTTTTTGTACTTTCTTGTAGTTTTTGTTGCGACAACGCATAACTTAATGTCACTTTTGCTTTTTTGCAGACTGTGCAGGATGTGGCCGAGACATTAAGAACGGACAGGCTCTCCTAGCATTGGACAAACAGTGGCATCTGGGCTGCTTTAAGTGTAAGGCCTGCAGCAAAGTGCTGACTGGCGAGTACATCAGCAAGTAAGCAGCTCATACCCACTGTAATTACAGGCTGCCTGGTCAAATTCAGGCCTGCATGAGGTTCACACATGATATATTTCATTGGCAAGTCCCCGCTGCTTAGATTTGTCTGTCTCCACTCAGGGATGGCGCCCCCTACTGTGAGAAGGACTACCAGATCCATTTTGGAGTTCAGTGTGAGGCGTGTCATCAGTTCATCACAGGGAAGGTGCTAGAGGTAAGACACACACACAGACACACACACACACACACACACATCCCATTCTTCAGCTTCAACATCCCTCTTAGTGGCTCGCTATTACAGGCAGATGTCTCTCTGTGCAGCCAGATGTGAAATGTATAATATGCTTTTGTAAACAGATTTAATTTTGCACCTGGATTTCATAAGAATCCTGCCTACGGTACGGTAGGCAGGAAAGAGTGAACAAATACTTTCACTTGAATTTGAGTACTTATGGTTAATTGAAGGACTAAAATAACAGCAGATACATTTGGGAAGTATACCTAATGTTTCAAATTAAAGTGTGCGTTATGTGGATTAACAGAGAGTTGGTTGTAATGTCTAAATTCTGCTTCTCATTAAGACACAGGATGAAGCCTTGGAATGGAATTGTGAAATGTAGTTTGATAATCTCTGGTGTAATCTCTTCGTCACAGAGCCAAAGAGACTCTTGGCATGATTGTATTCAACTAAAAGATTAATTCTAAGCAGATTTATATGTCTTTCCAACCCTGCCTAAATACACATTTTGCACACGGTCATTTTGCTACAAATTACATAAATATTACATAAAAAAACGAATGTGATCTGATGTTTAGGAAGCGATCAGTATTCAATGATACTGTACGTCATGCAGCTGTAATGAAACTCTTGTTTGCATCGTTGTCGAGTCGAGTTTATGTAAAACGTCACCAACACTCTTTGTGATCACTGGTCTCTTGAACAAGTTCCAGCCTGTCTGTTCTGCAGACAGTGATCCACTCAGACGCTGAGTTGTGTGTCATTTAATGGTATGAAAATGTCACTGCTAGCCAGCCAGCCAGGCTTACAGTAATCCAGCACTAAGGCAGGTCTTTATGACAATAGGAAAAGGCCTCGGCGTCTCACCCCTGAGCCGCTGCCAATAGATCAGCGGGGCCAAAGCCACAGCAGTCGGTCTGATAGTCCAATCACTGACCCAAGACCCAGGTCAAATACCTCGTAGCCATCGGTGGGTTTGCATACCTGCTGCTCCTCTGGGTGTGCAATGTGAATGGCTTATTAATGCAGGGTTAATTAATGCAGCTATTAAATTCTCAGAGAAATAAGGAGTGTATTTAATGGCATACTACACATATAGCATAAGTACCTTTATTATCCCTGAGAGAGAGAGAGATATGTGAGGAGACTATTGGGTGGGAGGTGCTGTAAAGTGCTTGCTATAGCTGCTCTGTAAAATGTGAAAATGCAAATGTTAGTCAATGGCTCCATATCTCTAGGCCTCAACGAGTGTTCACTTGCCAGCTGAAACGTTACCGAGGGTTGTTATACAGCAGGCACAATTTCTTTTGGGTGTTTTATCACCCCCGGTCAAAGTCACATCGGCGTTTTAGTGGTGCTCTCTGCATGCAAAGTGCCACGTCAATGTAGATGGAAATTCAGGTGCTCTAGCCGTCAGATCATTTTATTGGATGGCATTATGCAGGTTATCACAAAGAGCAACGCTCAGGTAGAGAAGGCGGGTTGACTGTGTCAAACAGGCAGGTGTCATGGGGGACATTCAATAATAACTTAACAGTCTTTCAATTTTTCAGAACTGAAAGAGAATATGACTGGAATACATTAAATAATTTCACATTCCCACTTGAACTGTTAAGCAACACCATATTTACATTAACCCTGCAGACGAGTCTCAGGGAAACATATTCACCAACAGCTGCCCACTGTGCAATTTCATCAACAGTCATTCTTGAAGGAAGAGCGAGCAGTTATACTGGATCGGATGAAACTATCCGTTGCACTAACAGGGTTTGGATGTTAGAGGAGGGAGATGCAGCTGGGAGCGGGTAGAGCTCTGGGTTTACTTCCTGGAAGTCGCAGCTCTTCGCTTCAATGCAGACTTCATTGATCTTCATTTTCCTCTGTCGTCAAGTCTGTTTTGTGCGCTCTGTGTTTTCCAGGCAGGAGATAAGCACTACCACCCTAGCTGTGCGAGATGCAGTAGGTGCAATCAGATGTTCACAGAAGGAGAAGAGATGTATCTGCAAGGTGAGCGGACATTCCTGCATTATCGCCGTCACATGAAAACTTTGTTACTCCACTTTGGTTGACAGAAACTGTAGAATGGCATGCTTCTCTGTAGTTTGAGTAAGGCTCAGGGGTATAAAACCCGTCGGCGTGGGTATAAAATGGCATACTTTTTCTTTTCTTATTATCATTTACTGTGTGATTTGTCTGCTTATATGCCGTGCTGCTGACACACTGTGTACTGAGAGTTAATTTCCATGCTGTACTGGAAACAAATTCCACCAACTCTAGCTGCGTAGCAATTAAAGTGCAGCGACGTGAAGTGAGGTAAAGTCTGTGGTGGTCTGGCCACCATAAGCTGACAGAAGTTCTTCTATGCTCCTCCTATACATCTCTGAAACTACAAAAGAGATTTACACAATTCTTTCAAAAGACATATTGGGAGAATGCTGTCGAACATGTCACTTTAAAGTCTCCCGTAGGTGTTCAGTTGGGTTGAGATTTGGTGGCTGCAAAGGCCATAGCATATGGCTCACATTATTTTTATACCAATCAGTGACCCCCGTGTTGTGCATGTGCATTTGTGTCTCCACTCGTTTATGTAGATTTTTCCTTTAGCTCTCCAGCTCCCAGTCCACACTCTGCAACCTAATAAATGCACGACTTAAACTGGCCACTGAGCTGCTTGATGTAGCTAAATGCACGAAATTTTGTATTTTCAATACACCTAATGCTGACATTTTCAGCCTTTAATCAAGTCTGTTAATAACCCATGTAATAACCCATTTGTCCCCCATCTGTACAGAATATGGATATTATCGTATCTCCTTTCCAACACACTTTTAGATCACATTTAGTCATATTTGCAAAATGCATTTCGATAAAGTGAATATATTCTATTTCCATATGTCGTTCTAAATGTATTTTCTCTCCTTAGGATCAACAGTGTGGCATCCCGGCTGCAAGAACACCACCAGAACAGAGGAGAGACACAGGGAGCGGGTAGGAATTTGGGTGTCACTGACTCCATTGTCCATAACTTTGTCTTGACTGAAAGCACCTTTCTGTTCATGTCTCATGACAAAGTTATCCTGGAAAAGATAGAAATTCGGAATATGTAACGAGGGATTCTGCATGGGCTGTTCCCGCTCCCTCGATGAACTGTTAAACCTTAACCTACCATGGTTTACATCATTTGCCTATTGAGGCGGTGCTAGGAGTGTGTGTGTGTGTGTGTGTGTGTGTGTGTGTGTGTGTGTGTGTGTGTGCCGTTGCATGCGTGTACAAGTATTTGTTCATTTGCATATTTACATGTTCGCCTTGATGTATGTGTGAACTGTAAGTCGGGCTGGAGAGGCACAACCCCTCGTGTGATGTCCTGTGAACCCCCCTCTCCCTTCCTCCACAGCTATTGCCTCCGTCCCTCTTATTCCTCCAAAAAAACAGAAAGGCAGGTACTGTATTCGCTATTGGCTATGAGATGGCATCATCCTGTGTTCCACCATGTACATAGGACATGATGCACTGTATGCTGCCATCTGCTGGAGACAGCCTGCAGTGCGCCCTCTGCGTGTCATACGGAGCCATTCAGTCTTGTCCTTTTAACGCCTTAATGTGCGCTCATATCAAAGGTGCATGAGACAAAGATATGCGCACATTTGGTGACAAATTTTGTCTTTTTCAAATCCCTCATTCACCAATTAGGTGAAAAGCTCGTTTAACTCTCAGACCTGCTGCTGCCATCCAAACTTTCCATTTCCCATAAACAAGCATGAGGTCCTTAAGAACATAAAATCACAGCGTGAAGCACTCATTCACTTTGCAAATTTGCAAATTTGCAAATGATTGACCCAATCATGAAATAACATTTTAGCTTTTCAAAGTACCTCATGTTATTAATGGAACGTCAATACAGGGTTTGTCAATCCCCTCTCATCGCTCATACAGTATAAAAGCCAAACGGTGTAATGTTGGAGTGTTTTGGGTAATAACCACGGTGATGTGCAGATGGCAGGGGGCTGTGGCTCATGGGAGACAGATTGCCTGACAGACGTTGTTGGGACTAACATCCACTTGTGTGTTTCTTTTCTCGCAGCCTACGAGGTCATCGTCCGAGAGTATTTGTTCCAGACCTGGTTCAAGCATACCTGGCTCACCGGGTCACACGATCTATGTGAGAACTGTTATGGACTTATATTTGTTTTTTAGATTTATTTTGTCTAAATAGATGGTTCTGTCTTACTAGTCACAAATTCCCTTTTTTATAACGGCCTCTTTTGACAATTGAACCTTAGTAAACCCCCTTTACCCTTGTGTGTGTGTGTGTGTGTGTGTGTGTGTATGTGTATGTGTGTATGCATCTTTGTCTTTATTTGTCTCCCTAGGCAAAAGTAGACAATGAGATCCTTGATTACCGAGACCTAGCTGCCATTCCAAAAGTCAAAGCCATTTATGACATTGAGCGTCCTGATCTTATTACCTATGAACCTTTGTACACCACCTCCCTGGCTGAGAGAGAGGAGAGAGGAGAGAGTGTGGGAGAGGTAAACACACAGACCGTATGCAACTGTTCCTGCATGCATGTCCTCTTCATGCACATACAGTACTGTGCATTAAGATAAATATTCCTCAAATGATCCTCTGTTTTGATGTTGGCAAATAATGCTGCGTTTGAAAGCCTTTATGCAGTACTGAACTTCTTCTGTCCCTCACAGCTCCACACTGCCAGGAGGGAGCGTTCCCCCTTGCCTGATGACAGGGTAAGATACGTCACCGTGTGCTGATCATGATGAATTATCCTAAATCGGCAATGATATTCATGTCTGGCTTTCTGGGCTCTTTCTTTGACAACTAAGTTATAATTCAGATTTCTTTGATTCTTCTAGTGCTCAAGAAACATGTCGCCAACCCCATCTGGTGAGGTGAGCATATCATTTTGTCATATTAACTGTCCCCTGTATGCGATTAAATGCAGCATATACGTAATGTCTCAATAATGCCTTCAATTCGTGTAATAACCTGTGTGTGTGTGTGTGTGTGTGTGTGTGTGTGTGTGTGTGTGTGTGTCAGGGCTCTTACGAGAGGAGGGAACGTATCCTCCAAAGGTCCACCAGTCAGGGCTCCATAGGATCACCAGTTTATAATCGACATGGTTACACCCCCACCCTGTCACGGTCACCGCAGCATTTTCACAGACCAGGTGAGTGTGTGTGCATGTGTGCGTGTGTGTGTGTGTGGGCACATGTATAGTGTTCCATAGTTTATGATAAAATCAGTGTTTTTTTTATGAGGTGGATTGGTGAGATCTTTACTGGTCAGGTATAGATGACAGTTGAAACACTGTGGATGAGTTCACTGACCCTCCACTTTAAAGTTCTCACTTCTCTCCTTCTGGTCGTTTTACATCTTTAAAGGGGAACTTTGCCAAAATTGACTTTGGATTGTTATGTTTATCCTTTTTGCTTTGATGGGCAATCCATCCTTTTTGCAGAATAACAACCACAAAGTCAAATTTGCGCCTTTAACAACACAGTTTCTCAGAGTTTTCTATTGTTTCCATTAAAAAGTTTGATTTTAAAGTGTAACACTCTTCCTCGTTTCTGACTGTTCATCTTAAATACTCCTTACCTCTCAGTTTGGGTGTCTTTTATTTCCTTTTTTACAGCATTTGATTCCTGTATATCCTCCTTTTCTTTTGTCCCTCACCTTCTCACCTTCTATCTCCTCCCCACACTGACCACCTCTGCTGCCTGGTCCTGGGGTTTTGTCCCCTGTCCCACACCCTCCCTCCCTGCAGAGGCTCTGACAGGCATGCAGAAGCTCTGCTCCTCCTTGTGCAGTAACAGTGTGGGCTCCAGAAATAGTGACTCCCGCCCCACCTCCCCTTTCAGACACCACTTCATCCCCCATAGCCAAGGTAAGGGCCCCACTCCACTCCTCTCCGATGCCCCCCCCGAAGGCAACACATCATCTCCATCGTCACCTGCAAAGCCACCTCCTCGCCAGTGCCACCATCTGTCATTCTGGATCCAGCGCCATTTCTCATTAGACTATATCTGCCATCCTGAGTGGTCAAACCCATGCAGCCACTGATTCTTCACTAACTAGCATGGACCTCTTCACCTTTGCCTTTCGCAGCGTCTGCCAAAGTAGCTGACAGGCTCTTTGTGTTTGTGTTTTTGCAGCTTTGCATGTACGTGAGATATACTAGTAATACAAATCCAATATCCAAACTGACAGTTCCCCACATGTTGGATGATGGATGAGTTTTTTTCCTTGTCGGAAGGAGTCTCCAGACTCCAGTAAACTGTAAGTCTGAGATAAAAAGAACGGTTTTGTCGTTGCATGCCGAGGGTTATTAACTTTTTGACCGTGAGCTCTTATTAAACCGTGAATTCATATCATTCACCAGACTAACAGACATTATAGTTCCTAACCCATAGCACATTTCCCTTTCTCGCTTTTTTAAACTCTGCTAGTTTGCTCCGCCTTTTGTATCTTCATCATGCACATAGCATAGTGCTCCATTTACTTCATTTCTCAAAGGCAACCAGAATGTCTCCCATTCGCTGAAAGTGACTTCAGCTGGTCCCGTTGGTCCCTGTGTGTTGCACCCTTCAGACTGTGGTTCCCCATAGTATCCCTGCTTATGTTCTGTTCTTGGTTCTTCTCACTGGAGGCACTGACCCGCCGAGTGGCCGGAGCTCCCCCCTCCCGCTCAGGCCCGACAGCCGGCCGGTCACCCCGCCTCTATCTCAGACCCCTAAACATTTCCACCTTCCAGGTAGGAGCTGGAGCGCACCCTGTCACTGCTCGTCCCTTCTTACTATCTATCTGTCTATCCGTCTGTCCGTCTATCCGTCTATCCGTCTATCTGTCTGTCTATCTGTCTGTCTGTCTATTTCTATATCTGTCTGTCTATCTGTTTGTCTGTCTATCTGTTTGTCTGTCTATCTATCTATCTGTCTGTCTGTCTGTCTGTCTGTCTGTCTGTCTGTCACTATACTCCATTTGGGATCAGCTTTTGCTTTTCCCCCTCTTCTTTCATATTCCAGGAAAAACGGCGAAATTCAATGTAATCCCTATGTGTGTGTAATTGCTTGGAGATGTTTACAATAGATCTTATTTTTGTATAGTAGAGGCACTGTATGATCCGTAAACGTCTTTTCTGTCTGTATTTGAATGTTTTCAGATCAGGGGAGCAACATCTACAGAAAACCACCCATCTACAAACTACACGGTACCTCTCCTCCTCTAGTATAGCCTGTTTACTGTTAAAACAGAAAGGGAAAAATGTCTGTCTGAGTACAAATTTAGAGTAATACTCTAGGTAGTTATGTTATTGAGCCAAGCTCTTTTCTGGAAACGCTTTCGTTAATCAACTGAAATTCACAGTGTATTCGTCTAACCATGTAGTCACCCCCAGTGTCAGTGTATGAGCACTGTTTGAAGTCTGTCTCCAATCCTCTTCAGTCTGATCTGAAGCTTGTTTTAAACACTGCACTTTGTCTCTGAACAAGTCACAGGAGTAATGTTAGAGTTTTCTAAAAGCGAGACTATGTAACTTTTGTGACAAATACAGAATGATGTAATTTCTGTTAAAGGCAATCTGAATGGCAACACAACAACACGTCTCCTGGTTAGCAATGTGTTTACTTAATCTTCAGCATTTGTGATAAAACCATTCAAATACTTATCTGCGACAGGCTTTAATGTAATGTAACAGTAGCACAAGTAGAGAAAAGAGATAAAGTCAGCAAACTGACTCAGTAATGTCAGTTACACTGTAATCAACCTGAAGTTGGCTAACGTTAGCTAGCATTAGCCACTACAGTGGTCCTACCAGACCAAGTAAGGCAGTAGCAACAAAAGCGCATTGAATTGAACAAGGGTGCGTTTTTTTGCTTATGAACTCAACTTTTCATTCGTAAGTTGAAGAATCCATTTTCTTTTTTTTTCTTCCAAAGTTACATAGTCTGGCTTTAAAATTAGTCAAAAAAATATGTTAATGGCCAAAGCATATGTCACTTGTGTACATGCACGCCAGCTGGTTTGAGACTTTTCTACAACTGAATGGTGTTTCCCACAACAGGTGTAATCTTGCTTGTACAAGATGTAACTAAAATCATCCTTGAAACATCCTTAAAACCACATTGACTCTCAATCCAATATTCGCTGACTTGTTAGGAAAGACATCTTGTGGTAAGCGTACATTTTAAACCTGGACTACCCAGGATTAAATGAACCTTGTGTCTGACGATCAGATGGTGCTAAGAATGTTTACCTGTGGTTGAGACCGTGACTCCGACACTGATAGATCAGTTCCCATGGTTACCAACCTAGATACAGATGCCATAGCACGTCAAAGCAAGTCTGCTGATGAGATCATCAGATCCGCCACCTTCCCCGCTGCCCATGCTCCCTCTCCAGATGACAGCTCACGGAGTGAGGCCGACCGTTGGCCCTGCTCTCTCGCTGTATTAGGTACAGTAGGCTCCTGATGGGCATGCTTGCACTGCGACCTTGTAGTGGTACAACAGACACCTCACCACAACCTAACTCTTCTTGTTCCTCCCTTTCCAGCTGCCCCAAAAGCTTTAACTGCATCCCTGCTTCACTCCGAGCTCACGCTTTTATTCAGGCGTTTCAGTATTTGCCTTTAAGTTTTGCTTGCACAAAGCAGAAGCGTTGTTTGGTTTCTGTTGCTGCCATGTTATTGTCTGCTTGAGGTAGCATCAGTTTCACCATTTTACTGCACATGATGGGTGCACTTGCTTTACACAATAGTGCCACAAATGACTTGGACAGAGATCACTGAGACTGACTTCAAACTAACTTTTGTCTGTCTGTCTTACATTGTGCTGTTCTGTGTATTTGACATCCAGTAAATTCTTGACATGAATGATGAAGCGTGAACATCTGTCATGTCAGTGTAGCCAAATATTCCAATAAGCCCTCCTGTTTGTCTGTCTCGTCAACTCTGTCTCACATTTGTGTTCCTCCGTCCACCTATTGCTCATTTACCGTGTGTAATCCTCACTGCTCTACAGCCAAATGAAGCCGCCACATCTTTCTGTCCTTCTCTAAATTTGAACTGTGGATGGAGCATTTCATCTGGTTGTACTCTACATAAAAGGACATGTGAAGCATGGTTTCCTCCAGAGATGTGTATGTGTCTTTATGTGTGCGTATTTATGTGTTTTTTGTAACATTTGGGGCTTGTTTATGGCACCCATAGGTCCAGAAGGGAGGAGAAGATCCAGAGAAGAGGAGGAGGAAGAGGCCTTGAAAAAAAAGCAGCTCCACGAGGAACATCTCAGCAAGGTCAGTGAGATAACCTTAAATCTTCATTTTAACATCTGTATCTTTGACTGCCATGTGACTGAAATGAAAGCCAAACACGCATGCTTTTGTATCCTTAATGTTTGTGTCATAGATCGATTGAATTATTTGAATGTGTGTAGATTCAGTCTGGTTTGGGAAAGCTCATCCTGAAGGAGGAGATGGAGAAAGAGCAGATCAGGGAGCGTCACGCACGTAGCCTCTCTGCCCAGCGCTACGACCCCAAACAGACCAACTGTGACACAGGTACGGAGCAGCTTCATCAGCTAATACGCTCTTGAGTTGTCAGCAGTGTACTGTAACAGAAGGTCTGTGCTATATCTTACTTGTAGATCGCTGCATTTTGTTCTGCTGTAACATGTCTGGATTATGAAATAGCTTCAATTTGTGATTTTGAAGCATCCCTGTTCATGTAAATGTTCCTGATTCGAGTCAACGTCTCTTTAATTCCAAATTTAAATTTGAGCATCACTTATGTTTCAGATCTGACTTCTCCGACCAAAACTAACTCTCTGCCTGGCTACGGAAGGAATGGGCTGCACCGGGTGAGAGCTCACTCATACTAACAAGAATGTTAGTATGAGTTGTCATCAATGCCAGAAACGCTAATTATATACAGGATTTAATACTTATAATTCAATCCTATTCTGGTCCTAAATCAGCAACAAAATCCCCATATGTTAACTGTTGTCTGTGTCCCCACAGCCCCAGTCAACAGACTTCACCCAGTACAACAGCTATGGCGACATGTGTGGAGGAGGCAGAGGTGAGAGCTGCTACCAGAATGTAGCCACCAAGCAAATCTCTTGCCAATGTCACCAGAGCTATTCAGCATCAGTATTCAGAAATGGCTTGCTACGTGTACATAAATGGACCTGCATTTTGAAATATTTGCATAATGATTCACACAATGTGTCATCAGGGACAAAAGTGTTGTAGATAGTAGCCTGGCAGGGGATTTGACAGCAAAACCATTAACTGTGAGTCTCATTTTCTGTCCCATGTTGTCCTGCAGAGTTTCAGGTATGTCTCCCATCCGCTTTTCCACATGGCATGCTTCCTCACCTTGCATCATGTATTTGCTTGCTCATGGGTTGCAAGAGGCACCTTGCCCTGAATGCACACCGCCCACTCCTGCCACATGCTTGCATCACTGTCGGATTTAAAGTCAACTACAGGGCATGCGGTGCAGTGATTTCAAATGCCCAAACATGCACTGCCCAGTAGCTGAACCAGTGTACTGTAAATGCAATGTACAGTCATCGCCTCACGTCTTGTTTTGTGTGTTGTTTACCAATGTAACGACTCAAGCTAAATGTGTAATTTAATTATTCGATTTTAAAATTCACCATAGAAAAAAAACAATACTACAGAGACATTCAGAAAACATGTCAGTGACTGCCCATCTCCAATACTAATTAAGATACTGAACAGTATCCAAGCTACTTGCTCCATCCAGTGAAAACTGTGCCCACAGTCATTAGTGGACATATTCATGCCATTAACCCTGCAGTCCCCTTCCACTATATTACATTTGTGTATGTTCTATTCTTTAGCACATTAAGGATGGCCGTGCAGCACTTGCAAGGATGGACAGGGGAGTATCTATGCCTAATATGTTGGAACCAAAAGCAAGTATCTTCTTCTTTTTGTACTAATGACAACAATGTAATCTACACTGAAATATGTTTAAACATTTATACATTGTTCACTTACTTTAGTTCATTTCAACTTGTGAATGAGGACACATTTTCCGACTAATATAGAGATAGTCTAACCTCCACATTTCAGTAAGAAAAAAAAAAGGACCAGCCCAAAAGAGGAGGATGAAATGAATGAATTAGCATGTTGCATTTAGCCTCATGGTACGGCGACATTGGTGGAAGAAATAGGAAACTAAAAGAGATTTTACTGAAGGTGAAAGACTCACATTAGCTGGGTTCCTGATGATTTAGCATGCTGCTTCAGGAGCTGCCGAGTCACGCTTAGCATGCTGGCTTCTCCATGCTCATCTGCACATAGCTTTGACTTAAAGTGGCTGGATACTGTATGCAGCATACAGTGGAGAATCCAACGCCCAGATTGTCATCCAAACAACTCATATCACTATATACTGCGTAGTATATAAAGCATTGTACATTACTGTGTGGATATGAGTTGGTCAGAGGCCTCAAAGAACTTCTAGTTGCTTATTAATGACTATCATTTGCCTGTTTCTTCTTGTACAGAGGGGATAAGTTATTTAGAAAAGTAAAAGCAGGACAATCATTCCCATGTGGATATACTTGGCCTACATTACTGCTGTTAGTTCTTTTTTCAGTTCGCATTAAATTCCTCTAAAAATACAACCCGTTACATAACTGTTTTCATGTTTTTGCCCTTACCTAATCTATTGCACGTTTTCTACACTGACAAAAAGTGTGCACACCATTATGGCACCCTGCATTTGCCCAACGACCTAAAAACCAGCTCTCACTCCGTCAGCCTCCTGTCACATACCTGTTCTCCCACCCAGTGTTCCCTCTGTCACAGTCAGAACTACAAAAATATCAAAATTTGATAGCTTTGTTTGATTAAAAAAACGGTTTGCAGGTTTGTGAAGTTTAGCCCTAGCTCGTAGGTTTGACCTGTTTGACTGACGAGTGTCTCCCTCTGAAGGTGTATCCCTATGAAATGCTCATGATAACCAGTAGAGGGAGAGCTAAACTGCCCAGGGATGTGGACAGAACCAGACTGGAGGTATCAGATTTCCACGTGACTGCCCGCAATTGATACTGGATTTCTCTACTTTGTGTAAATAACATGTTACACAAATACAATTGAAGCAAGGAATGTGCAGTATCCATTGCCTCTTGTCATTTCTGCAGTGACCCTTTTTGTGGCTTTGGTGCTAACCACGAACAACCCCCCCCTCTCCTCCTTTGTTTTCTCCACCTTTGTTCTCAATTCTAGCGCCACTTAGCACCTGAAATGTTCTTTGACTTCTTTGGAATGGAGATCCAGGAGTTTGACAGGCTTCCCCTGTGGAAACGCAACGACATGAAAAAGAAGGCCAAGCTCTTCTAGCACTCAGAGCAGCATGCACATACTGTACATTCATTCAGATAGCACACGCCAACTGTAATCTAGATGTAGGTTTTTGGTTCATTTCCCTTTCTTCTGTTTTTTTGTTTTATCCTGGCATAATCAAGGAAGCCATGAAATGGACTATTTTTTTTTTTTTTTGCTCTGATGCTTCCTGAGACTGTGAGCTGAATGATTTGTCCAGATAGACTTGCAGAGAAAACAAGGAATCTCTTCCACGTTCAAAAATGACAAAGAATGAGAATGAATGAATGATAAATAGGGTCTTTTATTTGTTTTGACGGCGCTTGTTTTACTTCTTGCTTTGCTTTGGGTGGAACTGCTTTCCTTTCTTTCTTGCTTGTTTCTTCCTACTATTTGTTGCTGTTGATTCCTGTGGAACTTTGTAAGTACAGTAGAACCTCATGGCCCCATTACGCCATGTCCATGCTCGTAGCTTGAACATGTGTCAGCTTTCCTTCGCTTGGGCTGAAACGGTTTTAGTCCAAAGTTTGCAAGAATCGGCTCAGTGAGTCTTTGAATCATTTTTTTTAAATAAAGCCGCTGGGAAAGCAGTCAGCAGACCCACTAACTGTTTTACTGGATCTACGTGGAAATGAATCATCCGAGCACCTACACATCGCCAGTGTCCTTCCCTTGGCTACTGTACACGCCAAACATTCATCTGACCCTCACAAAAAGAAAATGTCTCTCTTCTCAGGCTCTCATAAACATGGCCAAACACTTTCCCTTTACATGTATTGGAAGTACAAATATATTTTAATGCCGTATCCAACATACAGTAGCCAACAAATAGATAAAACACCTAATGTAAGAAGCAACTGTATTTGAAAGTACTGTTTTATAAATGAAAACCCACACTGCCATTTGTTGTATTGAAATCTAAGCCAATAAAGCTTTAAATCACCATGAACCATATGATCCTCAGCTCTACCAAAGGTACCCACTGCCTCTTTTCTGTTCTCTGTTTCTTCTCTGGATTTCACCAATAAACACACATCCTCTGTGATGTTACACAGGGTAAGAGGTTATCTGAGGACTTCACATTCATGTGACCAATCACACGGGGGAGTCTATTGACTTTCTAGACAAACTCTAACCTGTGACGAAAGATCTTTTTCCATGAGCTTGGTCTTTTAACTCTGATAGAAATATACAGTTTTTAAATGCATCTCAGTTTATTGTCAAATATTCCTCTGATGTCAATACACAGACTAGTGAACAACAGCCACCAAGTAAGGATTGTGTCACTATTCAGTATTATGTTTTGCGATGCAAAAATTGATACTTCATTACAGATCGTGCATTGAAAGCCCATTTGCAACACATTATGTTCTGGATATGTAAGTGACCATTTTCCAAAGCATACCGCAGCTTTTATTTTAGATTAAATGATTAATTTGGTCCTGTGTATGATATCCATGTTTTCCTATTGTTTGTCTCTGGGTTTGTGTTTCCAACAATGTGGCAACTCAGTGGGTTTATAAAAGCTGTGCTGTAAAGCAGCTAGCTGTTAATGAATATCCAAAGTCAGAGTCTCTCACCTGAACATTACTGTGAAACACTCCTCTAAAGACTTTCTAAGGTAAAGCTTGATATCACCCCACAATGATAGAAAATATAATGTTTAGAAAGTTCAATTTAATGAATAACTTACCTCAAGCATTTTTACATACTGAAATGAACTGAATAGTGGCTCCCTGGAGGGCAGGAGAAACGCAGTTAAAGTTCCCCTCCGGACTCATTTGAAGATAAAATACTCTGCTTGTAATAATACAAATTTCCCCCACAAAAAATAACTTCTATAAATCTGTTAGAATGTCTTAAAATTGCATCTGCTCCTTCTACCATGCACCTAAAAAACAGAATCTATGACTGCGAGTATTGTTCATTTTAAACTTCTGACAGATATGTCCTTCACTGAAAAGAGCATTCTAACTGTATGTTCTCCTCCAAACTATAATGTCATAAAAGCCTACATAATATCATCAAAATAAGCATCTTAAACTAAGATTTAAGGTAATCATGGAGAAACTTTCTCCTTCGCCAGATGAGTGTCAAAACAGCCATCTAGTGTTTAACTGTGCTCATACATCCTTCTGTACAGCGAAGCACCTACAAGTAGTAACATTAAACAAATGTATTTTTGGGTGGAGGGGGGCTTAAACAATGTAGAAAACAATGGTGTGTTTTGGAAAATGTCTTTGGTGGTATAACACATACAGCAATATGTACTGTAGTACAAAATGCACAAAAATACCGGTCTTCAAATGAGAGGTCCACATCAAAAATACATCACTTGTACAGTGACTGCTTGCGAGAGCTGCAGTGTGGCCTCATTCAGTCACAGGGGGAATTATTGTGGGACAGATGTGAGCGATTGTGGACACGTTGTGGTCATAATTGTCCTCCTGGAGAAGGCAGCACTGACAAACTGGCAATAGACATAAATATCAGCTTGATTAGGTGGCAACAACACAGCAAATGCCTGTTCATAAACAGTTCGAAGAGAAAGACTGAAGACGAGGTGGTAAACATACTCCTGTCAGTCAATCTCTGCTTTGTTGCTGCCTCCATCAAGTCGCACAATGAACTGCTTCTGCAGCTGCACTTCACCACAAGGAATCTGTCTGACTTCAGTTGATGTGAGCTGTGCTGAATATGTGTGCAACTCTCTCTACAGGAGACATTAGAAAAGCACCAAGAGTGTCTAAAGAGGCAAAGGGAAGCAGTGAAATACAGACTGAAAAAACTGGCAGCACGACAATCAGAAATCGCAGTAAGTTGTTTTCAGATTAGTCTGTGCTGAAATGATGCCACAATATGCAATCTTTCTGTCTTTATTGTGATATTACATTTGAATATTAGATTACATCTATGATCAGGCAGCATAATAAACTGATAGTTGCTTATGCCGGACTCAGAAAAGGTCCTCAGTGATAAGGGAGAGCATCATACGAAAATATCAGGAGATCCAGGCCATGCTGGACAAGGACCTGAGGACGACCCTGTCCCACCTGGAGATGGAGGAGCGGGCTGCTGTCTCTGCCCTGGATGGGCTGATGGAAAATAACTTTTCTCTGATCCAGGAGATAGAGCAGGACCTGGCCAGACTCACTGTGGCAATGGACCAGACTGAAAAAGAGCCTGATACAATGGTGATTAAACTTAAAGTCTGGTGGACCAAATATGATTTAAAATTTCATATTTATCTTCTCATTTGTGTATGGGAACTAAACATGTTACATTATGCTTTCAAAGTTCCTTTTATCTAGCTTTTTTACTTTTCTTCAGTCTTTCTTTTCGTACCCTGAGCAGCAAGACATGGAGACAGTGGACAGGTACGGAATCAAATCAAAATTGACAATAATACAGGTGTAGCAGCAGCAGCTGATGTTTCTCACTGTGGTCTGCCTCCTCCAGAGTGATGGACCTGCTAAACAGGACAGACCCGAGCAGTGTGAGCCTGGACGAAGTTAAAGCTGACCAGATCCTTGGCCTCACCAACAACATGCTTCTGCTTATCAGCTCACAGACCCCTATAATCAAGAAACTCACCAAGAGTTGTCAGTTCACACATTATCTCTATAGTGTTCATAATCACAAATTGACCTCTTTTTTTAACTTCCTGTATTAAGGTTGTTAAATATGTGTCTCCAGATTCCAGCGAGGTGTGTCTGGACCCAGAGACGGCTCACCCAAAGCTGATCATCTCCCCCCAAGGTGACAGTGCCACCTACACAGACACCTGGCAGCAACTTCCTGACCTCCCTGGGCGCTTTGACACCACCCTCAATGTCATCAGCTTGCAAGGATTCAGCTTTGGTCGCCATTACTGGGAGATTGATGTGACTGGGAAGACTTACTGGGAGCTAGGCATCACCTATCCAAACATTCCCCGCAAGGGCACCACTGAGGTCTGCTGGCTGGGCCGGGGGGACGAGTCCTGGTGTGTGGAGTTCTTTGATGGGGAGTATACAGCCTGGCACGGAGGTGTGCCCCATCAGCTGCCTTTAACAAAAAGCTTCTGTCGGATTGGTGTGTTGTGTAGTTTCCCTGCAGGGATGGTGACGTTTTTTGAGGCAGACAACATGACGCCATTATTCTCCTTCTGTGCCGGAACCTTCTCAGACTGCCTCCACCTGGCCCTGTGTCCTGGTCATGACCACAATGGCACCAATGCTGAGCCTGTTGTGATCTGTAATGCTCCATCTCCTTCCAGTGATCTCTGATTAGTGGCTCCACAGAAAAGTAATTCTTTGCTAAAGCACCATTTTCTAATAATGCACCAATTGTAAAGGTTTATAATTAAACAACACTAAGAATCTACAGCTATGCTAGCAGCCCTGTGAGGCTTAACACACAACGTTTTGAGCTAAAGGCTAACATCAGAATGTTCACAGTCACGCTAACATGCTAATGTTTAGCAGGTTTAGCATGCTAACAATTGCTAATTAGTACAGCTAGAGCTGATACAATTTTGCTATTCAGGTATACTATTCGGTCATGAATAAAAAGTACAGGACAAATGAAATGTCTGATCTGATGATGGTGCTACAAGAAGTCAGCAGAGCAGCAAAGTTGTTGAAATTTATCCTGACCGGGGCATGGATGTCTGTTCCAAATTTCATGGCAAGCCATCCAATAGATGTTTGAAACATTTTACTTAAACCCACAAATGACAAACACATGGTGTTGCCACAATACAAGTAGGATTCGTCCTATGGGGACCATGAATGTATGTGCAAGTCAGTACAGTCAGACAGTAGAGGAAATGTCATAACACCAAATTCATTCGCAATTCATCCTTTGGACACTGTGGATATTTGTACAAAATTTCATGACAAACCATTTTTGTTCACATATTTCTATGAAAGTCAAAAATGTCATCTTCATGGTAGCTCTACAAGAAAAGCCAAGGGATCACCAAAGTCAGGAGGATTAATCTTCTGGGGACCATGAATGTCTGTACAAAGTTTTATGGCAATCCTGTTTGAGATATTTTAGTCTATATTAGTGAATCTGTCAGCTTGTAAAATGTCTGGCTGGCTGGTGTTTCTCCTTTGTATTTGATAATAATATGTTATAAATGTTAAAAATCCAATTTTACAAATACTCCTGTGTTTCCCTCTTTCTAAAATTGAATAGCTCCTCTTTGAAATGATGGAATGCATTTCAGGTGACATAGAGGCACAATATGATGAAAATGTCTAGTGGGACGATAGTTCTCAGAAGAAATCATGTTAAAGGGGAACACTACACACTTCTATCAGTGCCTGCATATGTGTATTGAACTTTCAGATGAATTTATAGAAATATCACAAGCCCGTCATTAAGTTCATTAAACTATTGCATATTGGGTTTACAAATTGACAAAAAAATGACAAAATCTTGTTTAAAAAACGGTTTCAGTTGTACTTGAAAGTAATAACAGTTACTGATACTGTTATAGAAGTACTGCTATTGTATATTTGCATACTAGTATTACATTTGACTGATTTTGTAAATGTATAGTGAGATCTAAAAAAGCACACAGTATGCTACTTTATCATGAAATGCACCTTGTGTATTTGGCTCCAAAGTCTATATTCAAACAAACAACTGGCTTTGCAAATATGCCCTGTGGGCTGTTGTGTTGCATTAGAGTACAACGCTTTTCCAATTAAATCAAAACTCATTCAAATGAATTTCAATATAAAAACTGTTTCAAGGGTGGAAGAGACTGTAATCTTGATTTTTGCAGCATTTATTTGTCCATTTAAAGTGTTCCCTAACATGAGCTATTATTAACGAAGAAAAACAATCCAAGAGCACCGTTAAAATCAATAAATGTGAGTCAACAACAGGGATGGTAGCAGAAAAGCCTGCCAAAGGTTAGTGCACTTACACAAATGTTTTAAAAAGTGTGAGTGATCTGCCAGACTGTGCACTCTCCTGGATGTCCTCTGATCCACTGCCATCATGAACCTAAAGCTCCTCTTCTTTTGCCTCTTCTTGGCGGTGCTCCTCGTACCTGCTGAAGTATGTATTCACCGTTCACAATTATTGTGCAGCAATAAGCAAATGTATTGGCTCTTATTTACAATGTTGGGATGTTTTTTAAGGCATTTCGCTGTGACTAAAATTCAGTAGAGCTTGCTGTTTAAAAACATGTATTTACTACATGTGCAACTGCACATTCTCTTTTATTATTATGACTCTTGTGTGGTGCCATCAAATTGTTATTCAGCTAAAACATAAAAAGCGCAAACACCATGATCCTGGTCATGAGGGTCAGGGACCTGGGCATACACACGGCAAACAAAGAGTAAAGGTTGAGGACATATTGAGAGGTAAGTGCTTCTTTTTATTCCTTTTATAATATTTCATATATAGAGCAATATTTGACGTTTAGTGTTATATGGTAGAGCAAGAGGAAGACAAAAATATAGACAACTATATATATATCTATATCTATATATATATAGATATATATATGTATTATTAAGGAAATGATTATGATTTCAGACTTGTTCTTTGAGATCGTGGAGGGAACTGGGGATGATGATGATGATGATGACGATGACCATAATAATGGAGACTGGGTTTTTGAACTTCAAGAGCCGGATGGTGAGTGAGTTAGTTAAGACTCTGTCAAACTCTTTATAAATATCTGTGTAATGTCACCTGTTTTCTCATAAACGGCTGCATTCTATTGGAAAGCTCTAATCTAAAGCTTACGTTCCCCTCTTCACTTTTTTCATTTCTTAGGCCAATGCGACCCAAACCCTTGCCTCAACAATGGAGTGTGTGAGCCGAAAGGCAAGAGGAAGTTCAAATGCGATTGCCCCAAACCTTTCAAGGGAAAGAAATGCCAGAGAGGTTTGAAGAAATAAAAAAATGTTGTTGTTGTTGTCAGACTGGTCATATATGCACAATATACAAATAGCAAAACTGAATTAAAACTATCGTGTTCACATCTCAGGTCCCAAACCTTGTAGAAGAGGTCGATGCGGGCGTGGTGAATGTGTGCTGACTTCCACTCCCCCGTTCTATGAGTGCAAATGCAAGGAACCCTTCCAGCCTCCACGCTGCACACACTGTAAGGAGTAATTCTTTGTCCGATTAACACAGAATACCTCTTTTCCATAAGTTTCCACAGATCCCGAAAGCAAGCTTTCACTGTTAACTGTTTTTCTCCAAAGTGTCACTGTGTGAGCCCAATCCATGTAGGAATGGTGGACAATGCATCAAGGATGGCACTGACTTTGACTGCCTGTGCCCTACGGGGTACAGTGGACGTTTCTGCCATGTTGGTAAAGTCTACTCCCTGCATTATTATTTTCCTTTTCCAAGTCCAACATATGCATCATCATAATTCATATACTGACTGAGTGAGGTACATTTCTTAGGCCCGAATGACTGCTATGTGGATGACGGAGAGTCGTACCGCGGCAATGTGAGTGAAACAGATGACGGCAATGAATGCCTTTACTGGAACTCTCACTTCATCCTGGAGAACGGAGCTGATCCCTTCAACTCCTTCGAGGACAGTGATGGACTCGGCCCTCACAACTTCTGCAGGTCAAGAGAAAATAAATAAGTGCATTCAAATAGCAGCGGACACCTACAAGAGGATGCTCACTCACACATTTTCTATGACGCAGAAACCCAGACGGAGACGAGATGCCCTGGTGTTTCTTCAGACGAGGCCGCAGGTTGTCGTGGGACTACTGTGATGTCACAGAGTGTCTTCAACCAACAGGTCAGCTGCACAGCATCAGGCAACTTTATGATGATGAGTCAAAAATTGTTGTTATCTTCTGTTATCTTTTTGTGCATGTGTTTTCAGGTGTGGTGCCAACGGAAAATGTCCTGACGGACACGAATCCCACTGCTCTCCCGTCCCGTCCTACAACATCTGAACCCACAGCGACCCCCAAACCGACAACTTCTAAACCTTCTACGACTGGGAGTCCCAGCCAGGCTCCACAACCTTCTCCCACACCCACTGACGGTCCTCCCAATGCCAGCGTTCCACCGCAACAGTTCACCACCTGTGGGCAGCCTCAGCCAAAAAAGAATAATGCCCGAATTTTTGGGGGTCTGAAGGTCCCTCCCGGGGCTGCACCATGGCAGGTGTCCCTGCAAGTGAGACCAAAGAACTCCAACCTAGCGTTCAAACACACGTGTGGAGGAGTTCTCATCGAGAGCTGCTGGGTGCTGACAGCTGGACACTGCAGGTAAGCACTATAGTATCTAAAAAAAAACAAAAAACTAAAATATTGGCTGATTATAGAATAGCTTTCACATGCTGTGTTAATATTAATGGAATCCTGTGTTGTTTGCACAGGGAACAAATGAAGGACATGCAGGTGGTTTTGGGAGGTCTGTCACTGGATTTAGAGGAACCCACAGAGCAAGCCATACAAGTTGAAGAGGCTATTGTACATGAAAACTACAGAGAGACTCCTTCAGCTGTTTACAACGACATAGGTGATCCACGTGTCTCTCTTGTTTAATATGAAATAAGCAATGATATCACCGACAATATTAGAATCCTTTTGAACCTTTTTAGTTAACTAAGGATGGTATGTGAGAGTCAAATAGCACCATTTGTATTGATAAGAAGAAGAAGAGGAGATGTACAGTATTCATAGTCCATGAAGTAAATTCTAAAAATAGATTTGAAAAAGTAATGAGATTTTGATGTAAAAATACAAGAGATTAAGTACTTTATCATTTCATTTTTATCATTGGATTCCCAAAGCCTTGTTGAGGCTGAAAGGCACTGATGGAGTTTGTGCCAAAGAGACCCAGTTTGTGAAGACAGCCTGTCTGCCTGGTGCCCAACTGCCTGATGGGATGGATTGTAAAATTTCTGGATGGGGTGCCACTGAGGAATGTAAGGCCACATTTGCATATTCACCCACAAAATAAGTCATTGTTCATTTTTGTTCAGATCTTTTGGTTTGTCTTAGAGGCACTTTAATGTAAAATGTTTATTTATTTTTATTGTTTACTTTTTCCACCTTTCCTCTGCAGCTCAGTATGGTTCCAACCACCTGCTGGAAGCCAATGTGATGCTGATCAGCCAGGAAAAGTGCTCTGAACCCGAAGTTTATGGCAGAGTCCTGGATAATACTATGTTCTGTGCTGGCCACCTGATGGGAGGGGTGGATTCCTGCCAGGTTAGTAGAGGAAATGTGCACGCTATCATTCAAAATACCTGCCTTACAGTATATTGTGAGCATTTACTATCATGGTGAGCTGTGTGCTCTTGTTTCAGGGTGACTCTGGAGGACCACTGACTTGTGACCAGAACAATGCCAAAGCTATTTATGGTGTGGTGAGTTGGGGGGACCAATGTGGAAAGAAGAACAAGCCTGGGGTCTACACACGGGTCACTCACTACCTGGACTGGATCAAGTCAAAGACTCAAGCAGCATCATAAGCAACTTGGCAGCACCATGCCGGTGGAGCGAGTCTTACTCATCATGATTAAGCTTTTGGGTTTTGTGCAGTTGTACCTGCTATTTTGCTTTTCAGGTCTACAACATCATTTATCAAAACCCAATGCTACTTAATACAACCTTCTTAAATAATAAAATCTGCATTGCTATTTTAGTTTAGAGCAGATCTGAAATCCTAAAATCCAATACTAAAAATTAGGAATGTGTGGAAATTACATACATTTGAAATGAGACTGCCCTGAGCCCTTTAAGGGGAAAAGTGTCATATTATATTATCAATCAAGCACAGTATGTCTCAGTGGCAGATATTTCATCATTCTTTGGATGGATTAAGTTGAGTGGATCAGTGATGACACAGCATGAAAAGTGAAGGTATTGACGGTATATTTAAACCATGCTGATAAATGCTTCAACTGACTGTTTACTTCAATCTTGGGTGTCTCTTTGTGCTGTGTTCTGTGCCTCATGTCTTCCCTGTGTGTCCTCACCCGTGCCCAAGGGCAGCAGAGCTCATGGTCGCCGCCCTGATCAGGATAAGGAGAGACATTGGACTGTTTATTTACAAATGTAGTAGCCTGTCCTCCTGCAACTCTGTAGGGCCACTGACATGTGAGATTAAAGGCACGCACATCCTCCATATAGTCTGGGTAGCTGAAGGGACGGTTGTACAAAGGTCGAGCCAGTGCAGTGGTTTACACACGGGTCATTTGCTTCCTGAACTACATCAAGTCAAACATGAGAGCTACTAAGCTGCTGACCGAATAGACTTCACCACAGAACAAAAGTGTTGTTTGAGGTTTCACCCGATACCACTTGATGAAATATTTACTGTACATGACACTGAAAATTTAACATAGAAACGATTAATTGATGAATAAATATTGATTAAATAGTTGTTAAATATAGTTTATACATAAAATTGATCTTATATTTCTTCTTTCTGTAGTCTCTGACAAACCAAAATAAAATATTACTAATTTAAAATTATCATTTAAGTTGTGAGTTTTAATAAACAAGCGGGGGCATTTTCGGCACAATAATAAGAGGGCTAATATATTATAAAGATGTGAATTGTATACCACCTTAACAGAAGTAACAACACAGGAGAGTCAGAAGGTGTAAAGAGAGTCAGTCAGTACACATCTACAAAGTTCTGACAAGAGGCCTAATTAGACAACAAAAAAAAGAAGCTGTGTGGTTGAACCAGACTTCACTAAATAAACCAGAGGCTCATAAATAACAACAAATTACCAGTCCAAGAAGTTTAGAAAAGGTTAAAGGGCTTTTTTTAAACCTCATTTAAGTGTCATGTTGCACCTTTGTCATAGAAATTTTGGAAAGTAGTCCCAAAACCAGACACTTTTCAGTTTTATTGTTTAAATAAAGAAAATATGTTCACTTTGTGATCCACTTTTAAGCTACTCTGTTCAATGTACTGTCTTGTTATTAAGTGTCAGTACAGGTCTAACTTATATAAGATGTGAAGTTATGTGAAGAATAAACATTACATTACAGTCATTTAGCAGACACTTTTATCCAAAGCGACTTACAATAAGTGTATTCAACAGGTATTCAAGAGAACTACTAGTCACCAGAAGTCATAAGTGCATCTCCTTGTTTACACAAGCATCTAAGAGCATAAACCAGAGCAATAAACTGATGTTTTTGCTCAGTAATTAAGAGAATAAGGTTTTATTAGTGAAGGAGTTTTGTGAAAATTGTACAAGTGCTGATCAGCCTTCAACGTTGCAGCTGCAGGTTTTTTTTTCATCACTAGATACCGCTTGATCGTACACCCTGATGACGTCACGTTTGTAAAAACCCAAACATCTCTGAACAAATAGCTCTCTCGCCGGGTGCGGTGGCGCGC